TTATAAATAGCCTTCAGATTTTCCAAAAGATAATAATTTAAAAAAAATACAGCATTCATAATTTAGGACCACCTGATAAATTATTTTTTTGGGGAAAAGGTATTTTCAGAATCTGCATGGGGGAGGACACAAAAGGGTCACAAAGCAATTAGCCAACAGTCTGTGCTAGCCTATACTGTTTAGGAGGTGAACATCTTAACTTTAGGTGTCTGACTGGCATGGCACATCTAACTCTTAGAATAAAGATCACTCCTTACTGATCTGTCCAAGGCGGAGACCTTGGACTCCAGAATTCACGGGTAGAAAAATCTATTGAAATAAAGATCTATATCACTTGAAGTGGATCAGGAACTGTGGAGAGCCCTGGATAAAAGCAGAGTCATTTTCAGGAAAAGAAATGTTGTAAGGTTTGGTCAGTGAAATATCCAGTCTTATAACGATGATCTGTCCACTGACGTATCTTTTTTTTTTCAAGATACCAGCTCTTAAACAGCTGAAAGAAAAGTTATTTTCAAAATCACCACAAGTATGGGAAGAATGAATCTGCCTCTGATCAGTGGCAGCCTTTTAAGAGTCCCTGGATCTAAAAATGCTGTTTTTGAGAGACATTGTCTGTCATGTCCAAGACCTTACTTGGTCTGTAGGGCTAATGCCTACTGTGGTTCCTGGATTATAACTGTTCTTGTCTATTGTTAAGTTAAGTTCTTGAGAGGAGTGTGGAAAAGGTACAAGAAAATTTTAAGCTTTCAGAAGACTCTATTTTTTCCTAAAAACTTATTGTGGAATTCTAGATCAAAGACTGTCATCTTTAAGTGTGTAGTTCTTAGATCTTTGCTTATCCAAGTATAGCCTACCTCTAGGATAGCTGCACATAGCCAGATCCGTTTTACTCAGAAGAATAACATCTCCTGGGACTTTGTCCAGGTATCACAAATCAGTTAGACGTTTTCTGAAATATAGTGATAATCTTTACCTGTATTACTGAAGTATTGAAACTAGATTTACTAATACATGTTAATGACTCAAACATTTTGGCAGTTAAAATGCAAGCGCATTTCAATCCCTATTACAAATAATTTACAGCAGTAAAAAAGCTCTAAATTTCTTAACTACCTCTGGATGACTCCAACAATTTCTAATGTAGAAAAAGTAAGGAGGATAAAGATGCTATAAGTATGTTTAAAAAGTGAACTTTCAGAGGGTATTTTAGTGATCAGAGAATAGTGGCTCTGCACAGAAGCAGCGATCATTGGTGATTAACCTTTAGTCAGCTGGAGATTCTGATCTGAAATTTGTATTTTTGTGCCACTAGCTAGAATTCTCCTTAAATACCATTTTCAGGTTCTCAGCTACTGCAGAAACAACGTGTCATAAAGTTACAACAAAATGGGAACAAAAGTTGAAACACATTTAGAATGGTTTCAGAACTATTAGCCTAATACAGGTGCTAACAAAGACAGAAAAGCTATTGGCAAGCAGGGTGGAAAAAGTGCCAAGGGAATACATGTTTTCCTCTGATGTATACAAAAAGCTCGTTCTGATATTAATACCAATTGCAGTGATACTTCATGTTGTGGTTCATGAAGGTGGCAGAAAAGTGAGAGCAGCTAACAGGACAGCAAAGCTGGTAAAAGGAAGAGAGCCTTCTTATGTGCATGCTGCCTGTCTATGTGCCTGAGGCAGTCAGCTTTGTTTTGGACAGTAGTATTGGAACAGTTCTCCACTGCTAACAGCCTGTAAGCTGCCTGCCTTTTGTAAGGGAATGAGAGTTAACAGATGTCAAAAAGGAGAAAGGAAACCTCAAAGCAAAGGGTTAAAAATAACAGTAAGCAAAGGAAGAGATGGAAGGAAAAAAAGCGAGAAAGAAAAATGAAAATGGGAAGGATATTAATCAGCTATCAGCTGATTAAAGTTGGATTCATTAGAAGGGAAAATGCTGACATTTAGTTTACAAAATCTTAATCCAATAGGTAAAACATGAATTTGCCCAAAGCAGTCAGCAAAGAGAGCCACCAACTGCTAAAAAGGTTATTTCAGTAGATTGATTTAGTCATAACAGTGTTACACTTTCAAATGTGATTTTAGAATTCTTGTAGATGAGTTAGAATATTGCAGTGAAGGCTGAAAGGACGAGGTCCGGTTTTGTGCATAGTCAGAGACCAGAGTCACTAATAATGGCTTTTTTGGTGGCAGTACTCCTCCTCTCCTTCCTAAAATCAGCTGAACCAAAATGGAGGGAATTACATGCTGAAATGTATACAGCTATTTTATTTCAGCAGACGTAGTGTCCATGAGCAAGTGAAGGTAGCCCTCTCCTCCTACATATAGATACTTTTCCTCTCATTAGATACTTTCCATCATTCATAAGTAAAGAATTACTCTTGGAGTCAAGGCGGAGGACTTGGTCTTTGAAAAGTTCTAGAAAACGTGAACTAGATTTATTTGGTGAGATTCTTAGATAAAGGGCTCAAAGACTGTAATTTTTCAGGCACATAGGAGGCTAAGGATTGGGCTGCAGAGCACTCATGCCTGTATGCTTTCAGCAGAAGCTGTTTATTTCACCGTACTCACAAACCTCGGATTTCTAGAAACAAATCTAAAGAGGTTTGGTTTAAAGAGGTTGCAAGTTCCACAGTCTGTACCAAATGATCTAATGAGCTCTGCAAAACTTCTCAAAGGCTTTGTAATGTATAAACATAACTGAAATCTGATAATATCTAAGAGCTTTGCATTTTCACAGCAATTAATTGCAGAATTTTAGACCTAAGTTCATCATTAAAACAATCATATGCCATGTTCTCAAAGCATATATTTATTTATCTATATATATATTTGGAAAAATTCCTATGTGAAAAACCACTATTAAAAAAAAGAAAACACTTCCGAAAGTAAAAAAGGAATGGCTTTTCTCCTGTTATGGTTTCTCAAAATAGGTTGTTAAATTAACTTCAGACTTTGCCAAGAAATTTTCCTCTGCTTAGAAACAACATATGGACATTTCAGGAGGAAAAAGAGGTTTTTCCAACAAGTTAAAGGTGGTTGAAGTCACACCTGTCATGGGAATTACTATGGGAATTGGCAACAAGTATATTACTACATACTCTGTATTAAAGATAGCCTTTCAGCCAAGTTTATGCCATAATCATGTCTATGTATCAAAAAATCCTGAGACTTATTTCAAAGATCTTTTTTTCTGGAGGTGTTGTTCTTAGAACTATTCCATGGCTTCCCATCCAAGCATTCCTGTTTATACTATTTGACACGTTACTTCTGGTTGTATATGTAGATTACTTCCTCTGGTGTGACTGACCACTATTCATAAAAGGTAAAGAGTTTGTGTGAGGAGCATTGTAATATAACCTCCTGGAGAGGACAGAAGTATTCAGTCTGTCAGTCTTTGCTTGTCGTAGTCTGGGGTACCTGAATATACCCTAGATAGCAGACTCCCTCATCTCCCTCATGCTTTTTGTTCCATTATGTATTGTATAATGGCATGAGCGTACTGAAGAGTCACTGGTTTAAGATACTGGATGAAACCCTATTGTCACTGAAGTCGGACGTTTTACTGTGAATGTTATGGGTATGGAAGTGTGTATATCCTCCTGTGCAAGGTTGTGTGCTTATGATTCTGAACACAAGTATCACTATTAGTAGTAATTCACCTCCCTGCTGCTTTGGGTGGTGAGCTCCTTGAAGTTGGGAAGTGGCAGGCAAATCCCCACTGAGCATGAGATGTAGACTTAAAAGAAGATATACTAGGCTTAAAAGATAAACTTTTTGGGTTTTTTTTTTGGTTTTTGGGTTTTTTTTGCCATTGGGACCTATCAGTGTTTTCAGGTGCGTGAACATCATGTGTTGTATTCTAGAATCAGTGTAGGTGACACAATTGGAAAACCTTGGTGAAAGGGAAAGACTAACTTTTGCAATGTCACATTGTAGCCAAGGAATAAGTACAAGCTAAATGAACAACTGGTGTACCTTCAAACATGCTTTGTCTGCCTTGTAACGATCTGATTAGATCTGGCTGATCTAATCATCTTGAAATACTTACCCTATTTTGCCTCTTGAAATATTTGAATGTTATCTGAACACTGGTTTTGTTTTTTTAAAAAAACAAAAACAAAAAAACCCAGAAGCTAAACCTGCTTTTACAACAACCTTCCTTCTCTTGATAGCAACTGCTAAATAATATGACAGTTTTGTCCTCATGGACAGTTTCTGTGTTGTGCTGGTTGTGGCAGCTTAGCTGCTCTGATATTTTGTGCAAAGGAATTTAAGGGAAAAAATAGGGATGAAAGATGAACAAAATCAAATACCTCTGAAAACCCAAATGCCTTTTACATTCTTTACTGTTACGGAGAAAATGTCTTGTAATGTTTGCTACTGCTGTTTCTTTATACTGTTATTTTGTTACTGATTTTAACAGTGAAAACGAAAACTCAAGAGGGTCAGATTATTCTGCAGTGACACAAATGCCTTAGTTCAGGCATTGCAGTAGTTGTTTCAGTCCAGCAGATATTTAAATATTGCAAATATCCATTGTTCAATCCTGCAGTTTCTTGTATTCTAGTGTGTTTCTCCCTCTGTATATAGTCCAGTCAGGATAGTAGGAAGGGCATGGTGAGAGGGATTCCTTTATTTTTAGCAAGTATACTAAACTTACCCATTTGTGGAGATAAATGTGAAATTCAAGCAATGCTGAAGAATTGCATTTTTATACCTATTTCCACAGGGGCCATTATATAGTTAGGAACGGCTGGAAGCATTGATTTCTCACTCTGGGCACCAGGAAGCGTAATACTGCCCTTGTCTCAGCGAAGTCTGGGTGCAGTGTTGTGCCCGTACAACAGATTACATGGCTGTTACAGGATTCCTAGGACACAGGGATCTGTAAAGCTTTACATGCTTCTAAAGAGCTATTAATCTAGATAATAGTGCCAGGAATTTCTTTCCATTATTTTAATATAAACTTTCTAATCATTTGCTTTCCTTTTCAACAGGCTCTTCTGTCCAGTTCAACTCAGCAAATCTGATGCATTTTCTTCTATTCAATGAAATAGTAATAGTGCATAAAGATGAGTTTCTACCGTGTCATATAATGGAAAAACATTGGAATTTCTACAAAGAATGTGAAGATTTTGGATTTTAAAGAATTCTTGAGTGCGGAGGCGTTTTTTGCTTTGTCATCACTTAAAAGTAAACATTTGAACTTTTAGAATTAAATGTTTTGTTACCATCATTTTGATAAATCATTTGCCCAGCATTTAAAATGGACTGAAAGACTCCTTGGATAAATGAGGAACTGGAGAGTACTTTGTAGCAGGTAAGGATAACTGTCAGTATTGAATTGTGTTCTGTAGGATTATGAAACGGAGAAATAGACAAGGACCTGATTTACACTGGCATTCACTGAGAATTGTATTGCATGCTGATAATTTTTTATGTAACTCCACTGCTTTCCATGGCTTCATATCTGCCCGTGCTCAGTGTGGCTCCATGGAAGCAGATAGGTATCAACACTTGATAGTCACTTTTTACGCTTAACTTTAGAACCAATCTGCCTGAGCATATGCTATCGGAAATGGCTGCAAATGTTTGTGTATAACATAAGCTGTTAGGTTAGGCAAAAATCAAGGTGGACAGCTTTGAAAATCGCAAACAACTTTGCTTTACGTGATAGGGATATATGCAAACATTTGAGAGGAGATGTATGCTACGAGAGGTTAAAAGAAGAATCTTAACCAACTGAAGTGCTTAGACAGGGAAATTCCACTGATGTTCCAACCAAATACATCTGATAGTCAGAAAATGTGCTAGCATATGGCAGGAAATACAATGAGCTCATTTCTGGTAAATGAATTTTTCAATCTAAAAACATCTTAGATATTCACCCTGATCTCTGAAGGATTTCTATTTGTTTTAATTTTACAATATATGAGTCTGCCTCAGTAGCATATTTATACACATTTGTCTGTCATGAGAATTATCTCCATTCAAATTGCATTCTCACTCTTTCATTCTCTGGATGATAAGGAGAGCTGTAATAATCACACCTACTCCTCCTAACTCCAGTGAATGGGATGAGGAATGTCTCCTGTCAATATATAACAAGCTCAGCTAGCTATTTGGAGTGGGAAGAGCTGTTCTGCAGGAATTTTATTAGTGTCTCAAAGAGAAGAAGGTTTAGGGAGGAGAGAGGGTTCTGATGGGCAGGGCGTTAATACTGTGTCCTAGGACGCATGAGCAATCCTTACTTGATCAGACTGTAAGGATGAAAAAATGCAAACTGCCAGGAAGCCAAAAAAGTAAAAGGCTACTGAGTGATAGGTGTTTAAGAAAGGTCAGTTTCCACACAGAAAGAAGATGGAACGCTCTCACAACTGCTGCAGCAAAACAAACCTAAAGGCATATTGGTTTAAAGAAACTGTTCATTCAGATAGCTCAGAACACCCCTAGAAGAGGAGATTAGTTCCCCATTAAAACTGAAACATTTTTGACTGTTAAAATTACTACCAAATTACTTACTTATGGTGAGTTTGACATTTTTTCTTTGTTATAAGATATTTAATAAAATTAATATATAAAAACTGGAAGGACTTGACAGTAATACTTTTAGTCCGTTATATTAACATGATTATGTGACCTAAGGCAGTAAAGAGATGCAGTGTCAAAAAATCTGATTGATTCAAGATTGATGAAGAGGTAAAAAGGCATATTACATGAAAACTGCTGTCGCTTATTGACACCACATGCAAAAGTAAGTTGCAACTTTTTTTCAATATTTATGTAAACATCTTAAGAAAGGTGTTAGCTTGACTAACAAATATGGGATTCTACCTCCTAAATCTTCTTATAAGCATGAATTTTCCAAATTCTGCCTACCTGAATCTTTTTTTTAATGTAAAGACCCATTAAGACTTGACAAAAGTCATGCAATCATGAATAGGATGTTTTGTTTTCTCAATTTCAGTTTGTGCTTTCTAACTATACTTTTGCATAAAAATTTAAGCTGTTATTACAGGTCAAAGAGAAGCAACTAGCATTGATCCCAAGTACAGCAAAGGAATAGTGCCCCTGCTCACATGTGGCAAGCAGCAGTGGTTACTTCTCCCAGCTCCTCATGCTCCTTTCACTATTCAGTTCTCTTATTTAGTAGGCCACTTCTCTACTCCTAGGCTCTGAATTAGTGCAAATTTTTTGCAGAGCAGAATAAAGGAGAACAGGAATACAATGCAAAGAATACAAAAAAGCTGGCATTCTGTCTGCTGTTAATATCCAGATAGGGAATAAGAGGAGAAAGAGATGATGCAGGGAACAAAAGCCACGATTTCAGATTCATATTCCAGCTGATTTTTTTTATTTTTTATTTTTTTAACCAAGATGGAGTGAAAAAAAATCAGTTGGAAGATTAATACCAGTGAGGAAGAATGCAAGGCACAAAACAAAAAGCATGAGAGTGAGAAGGAAGATAAGCAGCTGGGAGGCAGACAAGAGAACATAGATTCATAGATTTTTAAGGCCAGAAGGGATCAATGTGATAATCTGACCTCCTGAATAACACAGGCCATAGGTTATGAAATGACATAAGGAAGGGAGACAAGAGGGAAAGAGACACTGAAACAAAGACAAAGGTACAGATAGCGCTAAGCTCACTCTAGGCAGAGGATCAGCACAAAACATTGCACCTTCTTGCTGCGCAAAGCTGACTTATTTAGGAAGAACTGATAAGGTAAGAGAAACATGGGAATAAAGGCCAGCTTTGGAAAGGTATTTAAAGTACTGTAAGATGCAAATATCTGGTGGTTTTTTGATGGTGGTGCCTATGGAAATTCTACCAAAAGTGGGGAGGGGGAAGAGGCAAAAGAAATACCAGAATAATGTTGCTAAGGGAATTTGAATAAATTCTTGGAGCAAGTTGGTAAGTATTTTATAAATATGACACACAAGTGAAGATTTTTTTTCTGGCTTTCAAACCTTAATGTTGATTGGGGAAAAACATCTATTCAAATGATTATGAGAATGAACAACTTATATATGAGGTTTAGGCTCTTTTTCTGGTCACCAGTCGTCAAGTCACCAGTCAGGTAGGAAATCATACAGACCATCTGGAATTTGAATGTTTAAGTTTCTGGCCTTTTTTTTTTTTTTTTTGTAAAATACTATTAGTGCTATTATGATCTAAGCCTATTTGTAACATAATTTTTATATGTGGAAATAATATCTTTTATTTGCTAATTTACCTGGAAAAAATAGATGAGTTTTGAGGCATATAAGCCCTTTATGTATACAGAAACTTTAAACATTGCTCCATAGACTTAATAGCTTAATAGTATGGACTGAGACTTAAAAGCTGCAGTCAGCTGAAGTACATGGACTAAAATGTGGCTTTTGAAATGAACCTGTTAATGGTGAGGAGACAATGGGAAGTGATAACAAGAGGAGTGATATTTTATTTTTATGTCATAATGGAAGGGTGCCAGTGCAAACAAAAAGATGAATAAGAAGCTTAAATGTGATACAGGAAGAGGGTGAAACAGTTAAAAGATGGGACTGATTTCAAAGAACTTTAAAATTTATATACTTTTTTTTTCTTTTGGTAAGTTTTTGGCTTTGTCCCTGGGAGAAAGTTTTACCAGTTTTACCAGTTACACCAATATTATTATAGCAGTATAATCACTGGGTGAATTGTCCAGCAGGCATTTGCTTATGTTACTGTGGAAGGAGCTCAGACATAGTTAAATATAATTCAGTTATAGTGATTTAAGCAATTAGTATCCATCAACTGAGCTGTCATAACTGTGAGGTCTAGGCTAACAGAGCGGACAGATGTGCACTGGAGGTGTCTTCTGAAATTCCCACTCAGTCGGTGCTCCAGGGGCGCTGGCCTACCGAAAGCGTGCTAGCGCTCCCGTGGTGAGCCTAGCAGCAGCTTAAGCTGAACTCACAGCACCGGCTTATGTCTGGAACTAGTTGAGGAACTGGAATAGGCCAGTGCAAAGGTGGGTTATTTCAGTATAAGCAGCGCTTTA